CCTCCTCTCTATTCTCTTCCCAGAGCCAAACTTAACTGAGCTGAAGCTGGTACCAGAATGTGGATTTCTTTAGACCAACTTCTGCTCTTTGTCATTTCTTTCCTGAAAAGTGGGATTTTAAAATATTCTATTGCCCAACTAAATATCATTTACAAACTCTTCCACTCTCCTGTGAGAGAGTGTGTGTGTGTGTGTGTGTGTGTGTGTGTGTGTGTAGTTTGGGAACAAACTCAGGACCTTGTTTATGCCAAGCACATGTTCCACTACTTAGCTGCACTTCCACCCCCTGCTATTTTTTTGTTTTTGACACAGGGTCTCACTGTTGCCCAGGCTGGCCTTATGTTTGCAATCCTCTTTCCTCCCCTTCTTGAATAACTGGAATTATAGGCATGTGCCACTGTACTCACCTTTTCTACTCTCAAAAATACTTTCAGCTATGACAATTATGTGCTAAAACCTGTACTGTATAGATTCTAAGTTATTCTATACAACACACCAAAAACATGAGAAATAATATCTTTGCAAGAAGAAAATGCAAAATACAACAAGAAATAAAACATCATAATCCATTTCTTAGATCAAACATAGTATCTCAGTGGCTCTTTCCAGATCTTCTCTGAACATATAAAACAAAATAAAGTCATATAAAACCTTTTGTAATTTGCTTTTTTAAAAAAAAAAAAAAATCACAGTCTCCCTTTTTCCATTTCCTGAAGTTTTCATCTTAATACCAAAACCATACTCCAGTTTTCCAAATTCTCCCCAAAATGTCCTTCACAGGTGGTCATGTCCAGAATCGTATCCAATTAAGAGCCACACATTTGGTTGTCTGTTATGAGTGAACTGTGCCAGTAACATAGACCAAATGATGTGTGTCTTTCCACAATATCAGAACTTATTGGAATAACAAATAACTTATGGAAATAACAATTCACTAAAACTCATATCACTTGATAATCGTAAGCTGGGGAATCACAGGTTCTTTTATTCCAATCTTATTTACTAATATCTATAATACTCAACACATCAAACTTTACATAATTCTTTACATATGTACACACGCATACACCAGAAAGGCTACGGGGAGGATTAATGTGACCACAGGGTTCTGGAGGCTGAACTGAGAGCAGATAGAATGCAAAGAGTTGCCATAGGGGGTCACTAAGGGTTTTAACAAGCCAGTTCCACAGAGTCCTCAAAGCAGAGCATCTGGCAGTTTCAGAATGTCAGTTTGGAGTGTCAACCTGAGGTGTCAGCTAGGAATGGGCCATTTGTCATCTTTATGGGCAAGAGGAGAAACCTGGCTGAGCTGAATCCCAAAGACAGAATTAGATTCATGGGCAGGGCTCCTAATGAGTGACCAAGTAAGTGGGATCAGATGTCACTGTGTCATCTTGGGGTGCTTCTCCTTTAATGGTTCTCAGGTGAGGTTTTTGCTTCATTTAGTGCTCTGATGGTTTTTTAAAACTTATTTTATGTTTTGGGGTACTAGGGATTGAACGCAGGGGCAACTCGGCCACTGAGCCACATCCCCAGCTCTATTTTGTATTTTATTTAGAGAGAGAGTCTCATTGAGTCTTAGTGCCTTGCTTTTGCTGAAGCTGGCTTTGAACTCATGATCCTCCTGTCTCAGCTTCCCGATTACAGGCGTGCATGACCATGCCTGGTTCTGGTGTTTTTGATAAGCTCATGGGCCTGGCTTTTCTGATATGGGGTTGATATACCCATACACCCATTAGCTTCTGATTTCATTTGATAAGTTCACACGTGGTCACTTTTATTAGCACTGTTAATTTATCACTTTGTGACTTATGATTGGCTAGACAGATGGTGGTTGTTTACTTGTACAAAGTATAGTACAGTATATAGTACAGTATAAAGTATAGGTAGTAATTCTACCTCAGAACTTATACTTTATGCCAAACTACTGCTTTATAAAATAGAGTAATTTAGGTTAGGCACAGCCTGAGAACTACTATTCTGTTCATCATGGATTAACTCAGAGCAAGACAAAGCCTGCTGTTTGCATTTGTTCCTTAAGTTTTTTAAGTTGGCAAAAAAGTTTGCAAACTTTTTCTTTAAAAGGCTCTATATTGTAGTAGATATTTTATACTTTATGGGCCATATAATTTCTGTTGTAGCTATACATGGCCCTTACTCATAATGATTCAACTTAATGATTTTTTGACTTTACAGTGGGATGAAACCATATCCACACAACTATTGTTTTTTATTTCAGAATTCAACAAATTACATATCGACACTTTATTATAAAATAGGCTTTGTGTTAGGTGATTTTGCCCAATTATAGGATAATGTCATGCTCTGAGCATGTATAAGGTTGGTAGACAAAGCTGTGATGTTCAGTAGATTAGGTATATTAAATGCATTTTGACTTAATGACATGATGTTTTCAACTTAGATGTGTTTATATTCAACTCTGCCCTTATATGATAATGTGACATAATAAATAAATTTAGAAAAAAAAATTTAGTTGTAGATGGACACAATACCTTTATTTTATTTATTTATTTTTATGTGCTGCTGAGGATTGAACCTAGTGCCTCACAAGTATCAGGCGAGCATTCTACTACTAAGCCACAACCCTAGCCCAATAAATAAAGTTTTGATCTCTTCCCCGCTTGTACCTCCTAAAACCTTGGAATCTCCTAAGTGATGTATTATTTTGTATGCTGATGAGATGACTGGTGATTGGGGGCACCTGGATAATTTAGGGTGGGGCAGTTTGCTGTGGAAACTGACCCTATGATTAGAGTGTTGAAACTTTCTAAACTTTCAGTCCTATCCACCCTCACCTCTGGGAAGGGAAGAGGAGCTGATGGTGGAGTTGTTCACCGGTGGCCAGTGATTTGCTCAGTCATACCTATATAATGAAATCTCTGTAAAATCTCAAAAGGATAGGGTTTGGAAAACTTCAAGGTTACTGAATACCTGTGGAAGGAGCTAGGAGTATGTTGTACGCCACAGAGGACATGGAAATGTCACTCTCGTTCTCCCCAAACCTAGCTCTGTGCATCTCTTCCATCTGGCTGTTCTGAGTTGTTTTCTTTTATAATGAACAGGTAATTGAAAGTAGAGTATTTTCCTGAGTTCTGTAAACTGCTCTAGCAAATGATCAAGCCCTCTAAGGGGATTGTAGGGACTTCTGATTTATAGCCAAGTCACACAGAAGTTATGGATACCTGGAAATTTATTACTTTCCATTGGTGTCTGAAGTTGGGGGTCGGGGGGTAAAGGGGGGAAGTCTCATGGGACTGAGCCCCTAACCTGTGAGATCTGATACTTTTTCTAGGCAGAGAGTGTCAGAATAGAGTTAAATTGTAGACACACAGCTGGTGTTGGAGAATTGGTTGTTGTGGGGAAGACCACATCTGGTATCATAAAAGATGTATTAACGGTGGCACATGCTTGTAATTCCAGCGGCTCCAGAGGCTAAGACAGGAGGGTCTCAAGTTCAAAGCCAGCCTCAGTAATTTAGCAAGACCCCTGAGCAACTTAATGAGACCCTGTCTCTAAATAAAATATAGAAAGGAATGGGGATGTGACTCAGTGGTTAAGCATCCCTGGGTTCAGTGGGGGGGGGGGGCGGGGTGATGTATTCACAGTGTTGTGGATGTGAGAGTATACTAGGAGACAGCAATTGTGTTTGTCCTATCTCACTCCTGTCATTCAAAAGCAGCCACAGACAACATATAAACAAACAGATGTGGCTATGTTCCAATAAAACTATGGACCTGAAATGTGAATTTTTTTGTCATTTTCATATGTCACAAAATATTCTTTTGATTTTTTTTCAGTTATTTAAAATGCAAAATCATTCTCAGCTGGGGGGCAAATAAAAATAGGAAGTGGGCTGCAGGCAGGAGTTTGCAAATCCTTTAATGGTTCTTTTTTGTGGTGCTGAAGAAACTTAGCCGGTTGTCCCACAGAATGTCCTATCTTTTAGATTGTTTAGCTTGTTCTTTAATTCCCTGTGTTTCCTGTAAACTTGAAGTTTTATCTACAGGTTAACGAAATCTGAAACAATTTTAAATGCCCTACTTGCTGAATGATTTGACATGATTTACTGAGCCCAAATAGTGAGGCTTTAGTTTGGAGGTATAGTTTCCTCTTAATTACCATCAGGGAGTTGTCCAGTCTATTTTCTTTTGAAAAATAAAACTTATTAATTCTTGACATCACTTTTAGCAAAGCCAGCTATTTTTGTTTGTTTTTAAAGACAAGTGTCTGTTACATAACTGGTGTAGCCTCTCCTGGCTAACCCCTTTTACTTGCTTCTTTCCACCAGCTGGAAAAGCCTGTAGCTCTCTCAAGTACTGTATTGTTTTACACCCTGAAGGCTTTGCTGTCTGTCATAGTCTCCTCTCTTCTACTAGGTAGAACTCATCCTTTTAGATTCAGTTCAGTGATTACTTCTTTCTGGAAACCTCTTCTGAGCCAGCCGCCAGACTAGGTTGGATGTTCCTCTTCTGTGCCCCATAGCACCAGTGTTATTTCTTTAAAAAAAAAAAAAATTTTTTTTTTTTTGTACTGGGAATTGAATCAAGGGCCTCACACAGGCTGTGCAAGTGCTCTCCCACAGAGCTATATCCTCAATCCTTTTTCTTTTGAGACTGGGTCTCATTAAATTGTTGAGGCTGGCCTTGAATTTGTAATCCTCTTGCTTCATCCTCCTAAGTAGCTGGGATTATAGGCATGTGCCACCATGGATGGCTTCAGTGTTCACTTCTAATATTTCAAAATTGCCTATTAATGGATCTGCCTTACCAATTCTGCAGTGAGTTTTTTAAGAACAGGGATACATTTTATTCATCTTTGTATCCCATGGATCTAGCAGAGTACTAACAAGTGGCTAGCAGCTGGATACTGTTTGAATGAATGAGTTTGTGAGTACAAATTCAATAATAGGAGTTTTATTTTTTAAAGATTCAAATAAAGACTTTTATTGATTAATGGATTACCTTTTTTGGCTCTCTGCAGATATTGGTGTCAACTTGACAGATCCTGTGTTCCGAGGAATTTATAGGGGGGTTCAGAAGCATCAAGGTAAGTTTTTTTTATTAAGATAAATAGTTCTTCTGTAAAGACAAATTTTCTGCCTTAAGCTGATCTTGAAAAGCATAACCAAGTTAAATTAAAATAAAAATATTAAAGAGGTTATTGTGATTGAATAATTATATCAGAATGGATTTTATTGTCATGTATAGCTAAAAAGAACCAATTAAAAAAAAGTAACATATAGAATTTGATGGTTAAAAAAAACCCCAAAGAAGTCATATGCAACTTGGGTAAAACTATCAATGAATCACACACAAGCTATATTGGTAAAACATGATCCTGAACACTTACTTATAATGTACCCATTAAAACTGTGTTAATCCAGCCCTTCTTATCTATAGAAGTTTAGTTTTGAGTATAGTACTTCAAGTAATCTCATGCACAAAAAACAAATAATAGTTGGTATTTAGTCTTTTTGTGGGAAAGAGTAGTTCTGGGGATTGAACTCAGAGGCACTTTACTACCTAGCCTTTTTTTTTTCTTTTTTTTTTTAATTTTGAGATTGGGCCTCACTAAGTTCCTGAGGCTGACCTTAAATTCACAATCCTCCTGCCTTAGCCTCCTGAGTCTCTGGAATTCCAGGTGTGCAAGCCCAGCAGATAGTAAGCCATTAAGCAAATGAACATTAGGACACAGAATCCAAAAATCAGTTACTATAGAACATCAGTGTATCTAGTTTTTCAAAAACATTTTCAGTGAGTGACAAGTAGGAGCGTGATTGAGAAGGAGATATAATGCTATCTGGTTTCCTATTTTGCTTTTCCCCCTTTCATCCACATTTCTACTTAAATACCTACTGTATTAGAAGACCAGGTAGTAGTACTTTAAAGATTGAGGGAGGGCCTAGCCAAAGGCAAAATGGCTTATATTTATCTTTTAAGTTCATTTGTAAGACTAGGCAAGGAATGATGGCAGCAACAGGTTTTTAAAGGCAGAATTTCTGCAATAAGCTAAGTCTTAAATATTGCCTTAGAAAAATAACTCTACTTATTATGTAAATGCAAACAGGAAATGTTGATTTTGTGGTTGTGGATGAAGTAGAATTACACATTTCAGTAAGCCAAGTCAGAAACTAATCTTCCTGTGCTACCAGGTAGTAGTAGGTGTTAGATGTCACTTGAAAGAAGAAAAGTTACTTAGCTTTCTTAAGCCTAATCTCAAAAATTACATTTTCTACTTTACTTAGAATTTTGGATGACATCTTTATGTGTTACTTACATAGTACTGTTATACTTAAAGCTTCGTACCAGGGTTTCATAAACTGACTTCCAGACCACTCACGTATAATCGAATCAAGCCTTTATTGAAGCACACCGGTGGCAACTGACCAGAACATAAAGCTGTTCCCCTGATCAGCCCCAAACAATTGCAAGGGCACTCCTTATAAGCCTGAAAACCACAAAAGGGATGTTCAGGGGGTCTAGCCAATGCAAGCAAGCCAGGTTACAGAAGCAGGACAGTGCAGTCAAGCGGAGGGACTTGACTAATCACAGTTAGCCCAGTCACCCTAGTTACAGAAACAATACCCCATTAAGTAGTTCCATGTTCTTAAAGGTTTCTATAACAAAAGGAAAAGAACATCTTGCCCCAGTCATGACTTTTCTACTTGGCATAGTTGTTTTACAGGATGAAGTCATAAAACAAAACACATTTGCTCCTACTATCACAGTACAGTTGGACTATAGACTAACATATATTCTACTCTTCTTGCCTTTTTAGCACTTAATGAATTTCATGCTTTGTGATTATATGTGTATGTATGTTTATATGTGTGTTTATGAAATAAATTTTTTTGTGGTCAATATTAGCATTACTGCAGCTTATAATACCCGGCAAAACCAGTTGATGTACTTAGCAGAAGCTGCGTAAGTTGGTATTTTTGTCTAAAAGAAATTTTGTAGGTACTTCAGAAGTAATATCAACTGAATTCCAATCACATTTACTCTGATGAGTAATGTGAATAAAAAATGGATTTTATATATGATTATTTTATTTTGCTCTTTAATTATTTCGGCCTCTCAGAGCTTACTCTGCTTCCTCTCAGAGCTATTTAACAATGAGTGATAGGAAAAGGCAAAAAAACAACTGTCCGGGAAAATAGAAAACAGATTATGTTTCCTTAATGTTAATGGTAATTATAGAAATATAGAATTAACTGAGATTTATAAAGAAATGTTATGTCATATTTTGGGAGGCACTGCAAGCAGGAAAACCCTAGTAAAAATAAACAATCTTAATAATTGTTTCCTTTTTTTTTTTTTTTTTGTGGTACTGGGAATCAAAACAAGGGCCTCACCCATGCTAGGTAGGCAAGTGCTCTACCACTGAGCCACACTCCTACCCCAAATAAATTACTTTTTAAAAAATACATTGCCAAGTTTCAAATTCAAGACAAGTGACTTAAGTTGTAGTTACCAAATTCATCTTTTGAGTCTCCTAATTTTTCTCTCTGAATAAAACTGCAATTCGATTAATAGTTTATTATTCATCTAGTTTGCTTTATTGGTTTCTTTTTCTTTTTTTGTTAAGCTTTTTGCTATTTCTAGTATTATGTGACAACTATTCTTCAAACAGTATTGATTTGATTTTGATGTAGTACATATGATTACTTCTATATATTTTTATTTCAAGAAGAGATGACCAAATTATAGATAAGTGAATTTTTATTTATTAGGTTTTCTTTATGAATGGTTTGTTTTGTACAGATGATTTACAGGATGTAATAGAGAGAGCTATCCAGACTGGTGTTAAAAAGGTAACATCTGTTTTTTTGTTATTCTTGGGTTTTTTTATGTTTAAAATAAATTGTAGTTAAAATTTCACAGAGTAAAAGGGAAGAAGCCAATACTACACCCTTAGAATATATATTGTCTACATGCAATATTCTCAAGTTAGTAGAAATTAAATATAGTATTCTGTCACAGCATTTTAAGTTACATAAACTTCATGTATAGTTCTTCCATGTGATCAGTAATGCAATAAGTGGTAAAATCTCCTTGAAAAAAAGTTAAATCTATATGTTTAGTAAGTTTTCTAGTATACTAGTATTTGTTAGAATTAAGTGATCATCAAAAAGACATGGGTGTGGTGGCACATGACCAGCTGGGTGTGGTGGCACACACCCACACCCATAGGTCCAGTGACTAGGGAGACTGTGGCCAGAGGATAGAATATTCAAGCCTTAGCAATTTCAAAACAAAGAGGACTGGGGATAATACCAAGTACCTAAACTTTCATGTGTCAGCCATGAATAATTTATTCTTCACACTTCTGTCTGTGCATGATAAAGCACCTGGGCTCAATCTCAAGTATTGCTGCATAAATGAATAAAAAATTTTAAGGTGGATAGGAATGTAGCTCACCAGTAAAGCTTTGCCTAACATACATAAAGCCTTGGGTTCAAATTAGTTTTTAAAATAGTAAATTAGCCCACACATGCATACAATATAGTATCAATTCTAAGTTGAATACCCTCAATGCTAAAGAATGACATTATTGACTAAATGAGTTCTGCAATCTTCAACCCTAAAATTGTATTAGCAATTATTTACAAGAATATGAAAAAAATAGAAGTTACTTGAATTTCTCATTATATGTGTTCACGCCCTCTTGGTAAATCACTTTATATGATGCTTTTCTGCAAACTGAAATACCAAGTACCTAACTTTCATGTGTCAGCAATGAATAGTTTATTCTTTACACTTTGTGTGTATGTGTGTTGCAGGGGTGCAGTACTGGGGATTTAACACAAGGGTGCTTTATAACTGAGCTACAACTCCAGCCCTTTTTTTGGTTTATTTTGAGACAGGGTCTCACTAATTACCGAGACTGACCTTCAATTTATGATCCTTCTGCCTCACCTTCCTGAGTTGCTGGGATTATAGGTGTGTACCATTGTGCCCAGCTTATTCTTCTCACTTCTAATTACTCACATACAAACCTATATAAAATACTGAACAGGAATAATAGAACTGAAGTGAATTTGTTCCAAGTTGGAATTTCATCAGTATCTTACAGAAATAATATAGTGGCTAAAAACACAGTTACAACATCACAAACCTGGGTTCTAGCCCCAGCTTCATTCATACTTTGTAATTTGGAATATTTTCTCTCTTTAGATTTCAGTTTTCTCATCCATAAAAAGGAATTGATAAGCCACACACAGTGGTGCACACTTGTAATCCCAGTAGCTGGGGAGGCTGAGGCAGGAGGATTGCAAGTTGAAAGCCAGCCTCAGCAAAAAGCGAGGTGCTAAGCAATTCAGTGAGACCCTGTTTCTAAATAAAATACAAAACAGGGCTGGGGATGTAGCTCAGTGTTTGAGTGTCCCTGAGTTCAATCCCCTGAAAAGGGGTGGGGGATGATGATAGTACTTAATTAATAGAATTGGGAAGGTTAAATAAAATATTCAATGGAGAAATGCTTGGTGTTATACCTGGTATAAAGTAAACAAACTTCTTTACTCATGCAGTGGATGCCACCATTGTCGGATAAGCATTGTCCTTGTACTCTGGGAGAGGGAGTTATGTCCTCTATTCTTGCCCTTATTTTATTTCCACTACATGGAAAAGTTACAGGTAATGTAAAAAGTAGACTTGATTAAAAACTTTTACGAAATTAAAATACTATATGGGGCAACTGGTCTGGTTTTAAAGAATTAGGTAATGTTAATAAACAAAAAAGTTTTCCCAATATTTCTAAAAATATTTTATATCCTATGGTCTATAGGCAGTTGGGGATTTAATTGTGACTACACATTCCCTGAATAGATAGATGTTCAATGTCATCATATTAGAGGTTTGAGTTGCTATATGAAAATACCTATTTATCATTTACCACTGTCTTTGTATTTGTATGTATTCTCTTTAGAATTCATTTGTACCTAAATGAATTCTGCGTTTTATTTATTTTTTAATTTTTAAAATTTTTGGTACTGGGGATTGAAATGAGAGGTGCTACATCCCAGTCTTTAAATTTTTGTCTTGAGGTGGAGCTTACAGTTACTGAGGGTCTTTTAAGTTACTGCAGCTGGCTTCAAACTTGTGATCCTGCTATCCCAGCCTCCCGAGTCTGTGGGAATACAGTCATGTGCCACCATAACTAGCTTGAATTCTGCACTTTAGCTTAGTGATACCCTTGAAGTATGCTTTACAAAATATCCAGGAGTGAGTTCAAATCTCTTCTTCAGAAGAGTGTGGACCTTAAACAGCACTGCTCAGTAGTCATCATCAACACATGGCTCTTCAGTGACATTTTCATTTTAACAGATTAGCAAAGATGGCATTAACCATCAGATGAGTTCTGATAGCTGTCTTTCTAGAAATATGTTTAACTTCCAAGAGCCATAAATTCCCTACAGAGATTTTGTTATGGTACATTACATTAATTCAACAATTCTCAAACTTCTCAGTCTCAGAACCATTTCACATTCTTAAATTTTACTAAGCCCCCCCAAAAGCTTTTGTTTATGTGGGTTGTTTACATTCTTTCAAATCTCTTAATGGCTGAGTGAATAGAAGTATGCTGAATTATCACATCTGTTTCTGTAGTCAGTCTGTTGCACATCATGCAGCCTCTGGAAAACCTCACTGTACACTGTCACATAATGAGAGTGAAAAAAGACAAATAGAATTTTAGTATTATTGTGAAAATAGTTCAACCTCACATACCTCCTAGGAGTTCCTGGACTACACTTGGAGAACTGTTTTGAATTAATCAACATTACTGAGTTACTGATATAGCTGATCACTGATTTATGTTAACAGGATTCTAAATTCACAGGTCTTTAGTTATTCAGTCTTTTATAATATATGATCTGTGACATCAAGGAACTCAAGGTCTAACAGAGACTAACATCTAAGTGCACTGTATTAGGGAGGAGTGACAAATTTTCCTGTGGACTGTGTGTAGAACAGTCAGGTGTCATTCTACACAGGGATGATCTTCCCAGCTGAATTTTAAAGGAATGTGGGTACAGGATGGTAAAAGGAAAAGGCATTTTGCTGCGAAAAAGTAGTAGGAAGGAGTGTTTGGGAAAACTGTTGATGCCCTGATAAAGTCAGCTTATTTCTCGTCTTTCTATTTCAGTTTATGATTACGGGTGGAGATCTGCAAGACAGTAAAGCTGCACTGAATCTGGCACAAACAAATGGTATCCTAATGTTCTTTTACCAGTAAAAATATACAAATTAAGTAATTTTGAAGAAGTCTTTCTGAGAAGTTCTTCAGGAATAGCACAATGATCATGACCTTAGAAATAGTCGGAAAAGGGGTTGATTTCAATGGGACATGATAAACATGACAAATTCAGAGTATTCATTGGTAAATCAGATGTTTGATAAACCCTCTCATAATAGTTAATAAAGATAGTTCTAATATTTAAAATTTCAGTTGCTTTTTTAAAAAATCTGGATCTCTGAAGGATTTATTTAATAAGTATTTATTTTGTGAACTAGACACTGTGTAAGACCTCAGGAGTGCAAATAACAATATAATATATATAATTATTCATATTATCACTTTATGTCCAAACATTTTATACTTTTAAAAAATCTTAAAAGTTTTGGAATTGATTTTTTAAGGGACTCCTAGTTACATAAAACACCTCATTTATCTGGGATTCATTTATTTACTTTGATTTTGCATGTCTAATTTGCTAGATACCCAGAAATTAGATAGTCTACATAATTTCTTAAAATACAAGTGTTTCCTTTATGCATAAATGTTATTGAAAGCTTTTTTTAAAAAAAGCAATCTTTCGGGCTGGGGTTTTAGCTCAGTGGCAGAGCGCTTGCCTTGCATGTGTGAGGCACTGGATTCAGGCCTCAGAACCACATAAAAATAAATAAATAAAACCAAAGATATTGTGTCCATATATAAATAAAAAATATTTGAAAAAAAAACCCAATCTTTCTAAAATGCACACTTTTTTTTTCAGGATACACTGACATTTATTTAGTAATTAAGGACATAAAAATAATCATCTTCCCAGGAATTCTGTGGGTACATAAGAATATTTTCTTTCATTCTTTTGTTCTCAAACAGATATGCTTTCAGAAGTTCTCTCCAGTTATTCCCTATTAACTCCTTCCAGTCCTTTCAAAGTACTTTGTGTCCTCACACATTTGGAAGTCTGATGCTTCCTTTTATCTGTAGACATCTGCATGAGAACCTGAAGGAGGCTCCACCCTCTCTGCAGGTTCAGATGAGGTACCTGTTAAAACCCTCAAACCCATCTTTGACTTCTCATTTGTGTTCCATACGATTAAAGCTATCAAAGCCAATAGTTAAGTTTTGTTGTTTTCTTTTTTTTTAATTTTTAATTTTTGGTATCATGGATTGAACTCAGGGTGCTTAACCACTGAGCCACATCCCCAGCTCTTTTGGGTTTTATTCTGAGACAGGGTCTCACTAAATTGCTTAGGCCCTCACTAAATTTTTGAGGCTGGCCTTGAACTTGCGATCTTCCTGTCTTAGCCTCCCCAGTTACTGGGATTACAGGTATACACCACCAGAACCAGGTGTTTTTTATTAGAATAACAAATTCTTAATTTTACTGTTTTGAGTCACCTCTGCAATTAACCTTTTTAAGGAGAATATATTTTAACTGTTATATTAAATAAAGGAATTATGATAGTCATGTGAACACTGAATATAAAAGATAAATAAAATTAGATGACAGCATTTCTTTTTGTTTTAGATGATAACATTTCAAGAAATTATTTCACTTTTCATTATGTAATGCTCAATAAATACCAAGCTTTGGAAAGAGTTGAATTAATTATTTTATTAACACAGAAAAGCAATTTTCATATTCATGTCCTACTTTGTTAAGGTTTTCCGCAAATTCTTACATGATTAACATAATGCAATTCTGGTAGTTAAAACAGTATATGACTAAAAAAAAGTTGAAACTTTTTGTTCTCTTATATTTACATATTAAATATGAATGTGAAATGATTTTGAAAATAATCCTAAGACATTACTTTGTGTTAGATATGTTTTTCAGCACAGTTGGATGTCATCCTACAAGATGTGGAGAATTTGAAAAGAATAATCCTGACATTTACTTAATGGAATTGCTAAATCTTGCTGAAAACAATAAGGGGAAGGTTGTAGCAGTAGGGGAATGTGGACTTGGTAAGTGGAAGCCAGCCACTTAGATGACTTTGAAAATAGCAGATTTGTTCTGTAAAGTCCTAAGTAATTATTCTTTTTTATCTTTTAAAGACTTTGATCGACTACAGTTTTGTCCCAGAGATACCCAGCTCAAGTAAGGAAATTTAATGATATTAGTAATAATTGTAAAATCCTAGTAGTGATGTTTTTAAAATAACTTATGAATTGAGCACATAGTTAGATTAGGCCTCAGGATGTTTTTGTTTTTCCCTGTGTATATCAAAAGTTAAATAAAACAAATTCCATGCATATAATTCATAAGGGATATAATTGATTAACCAATTCTATTTGTTAGAAATAAGGGATGAATTTACAAGACTTTTTTGTTGTTTTTCATTTGTTTAACATATGGATCATGCATGAACCATTCCAATGGAGAGAATGAAATTCAGTTGTGGGGGACATGATTTAAGGGCAAAGGATATTAAAAAGGGATTAAAAGATCAATCACCAAAGCAAGAAGAGCATATATTACTCTTGCTGGGCTTTGGATATTGTTAGCTGGGAACAGTGAGAACCCTTTCATAGGAGCCATGTTGAGAACTATAGCTCCTAAGAAAATTCCACAGTTCACAGGCCTCAAGGACTTCCTGTAATGCGCAACTTGCAGCTTTTAATTGGAGCTCATATCGTATGTTGGGTCAGTTATATAGGTTGAAAATAAGAATTAGGTCAAGTCTTAATTTAAAACATGAGCACTTCAGAAACATCTTAATTATCGAGATACTAAAACATTAGAATGAACTTCTAAAGGAGGTTAACTTAATTATTCATTCATATAACAAATATTTATGGAGTTATGGAATACATGCCAGCAACTGCTGGGAACTCAAAGAATACAAAAATATGAATAAAAGTATACTAGCTGTTACTAACAACCTTTAAGAATAAACAACCTCTATCCACCTTAATTTTTTTTTTTTTCTTTTTCCAGTGTTGGGGAATCAAACTCAAGGCCTCACACATGCTAGGCAAGTGCTCTACCACTGAGCTTTGCCCCCAGCTCCATACCTTAGTTTCTGATATATAAAGGAGAATTTGGCTCAGATTCTTTCTTAAGATAACATCCACTTTTTTGTTGTTGTTGTTTGGTTTTGGTACCAGGGATTAAACCCAGGGGCATTTAACCACTGAGCCACATCCCTAGCCCTTTTTATTTATTTATCTTTATAAATAAATAAGTTGCTGAGGGTCTTGCTAAATTGCTGAAGCTGACTTTGAACTTTCAGCCCTCCTGCCTATCATAATATTTAATAATAAATACTTGTTGTCATGTGATTTTAATTAAGCCAATAACTTTATGGCCTGAAGCAGTTTTTCATTTTATACATGCCAAAAATATGTTACTGAGTCCCCTGCCTGTTGCTTTGCTTTAAAGTGGAATCTTGATCTGTTCATTGTAGTTGAAAACCACTGCAGTAAGGAGCAGGTTTATTAGTGGAGTCAGTCATAACTTAAGATTCGAATCTCCCGAATTTCTGAAGTCTGACATCTATAGCCAAGTGGAGTAGGCTGAGTTAAAGTGAAGTCCTATGGCCACATACTTCTTTCAGGCCTCTTTTTTATATATAACCCTTTCAGAGTTGTGCAATTGCGGTATACCATTTGCTGTGTTTCCAGGGACACATACAAGGCCACCAGCAGTGTTACTAGAGCTCTGAGCCTCTTCTGAATATCATGTAGTCAACTCACTTCACCTTAAAAGTTAACAGTTTGATAGTTTCTTAGGTTATTCCTCCACATTAGTTTTGGGCCAGGTTGAGATTTATGAATCACAGACTGTATCACAACAAGCAAGGGCAGTTGCATAGTTCCCCCAAGATTTCTTGCTAGTAAATATTTTACTTATAGATGAGTTAAAGCTATTTCTAAAATGCAACTTAAATACTTGAAACTCAACTTGAGGGTTAAATGAAAACACTGATAATATCAATTCTATTTTAGTGTTCTGAAGAGACTTAAATCATCAGAGCAAGATTAGAACTAAAACAATGTGTATAGCACGATATAGTTTATGATTTAACTCCTGTGCCAGTTGTTCAGGTGTTAATCTAGTGTAGAAAGTTAGACCTTTGATAATTCAGTAAATGATTACTGAGAGCCTCCCCAGTATGATAGAAATAAGACTTGGTCCTCATGTTTTCATAGACAAGAGAGGACATAAGTAATTATAAATGGCTAGTTAGTGCTATCAGAAATCGATGTACACAGCAGAGAGGACTAACTTTTCTAGGAGAGTCCAGAAAGTCTTCAGTAGATAGCATATAGTTTAGGCCTTTTTTGGAGAGAATAAACTAAGGACAAACTAAAATAGGTGGAAATTTGGTAAGATTGGCAGTTTAACTTGAGATTTTTGAAAAAAAAAATAATTATAAAACACTAAATGACTTAGTGGATGAAAGATACAGAAGTAATAATCATGTTTGGATTGTTAAGGAAACAAAACCCCATGCCCCGCCCTGTCTGCAGCCTGTGCTCACACAGCACTCTGCTTGCTCCAGCACTTAGCACAGTGCATTGGTAATGTTTGTTCTGTGCTAGACAGACTTGTGTCCTGAGTGGCTTCAGTGGCACTTTAAATCTTGCTCCTGTTGTAGTTCCCTTGCACTTAGCACAGTGTTCTTGGCATAGCAGGTGCTTGGTAACTGGTAGGTGAAAGTTTAAGGAGGAAGGCTCTTTCTGATTCCTATAGGGGAACATGGGACAAAGTCTTGTAATTCAGCTTTTGCCAATGAGTTTATTCTTAGAAGAATTTAGGTTTTGCTTTGTGTTTTTATACCATCTGAAACAACATCTGATTTGTTTTTGCTTTCTTTTTGTTTTTAAATAAAAATGTCAGGAAAAAAAGAAGAGAAAAATAGAAAGTAATTTAACGTATTGAAATAGAAGACAAGACAAATTAAGGTACAATAGTTAAAGCATCTGAAAAATAACAGCATCAATAACATAGTGCTAAAAGTATGATTATTTGAATCAGCAAGTCTTGGGTATGTTTTAAAGTTGCTGTTGGTGGTTATATATCCCTTTGTACATCTTAATTTTCCTCATCCTCAAAATGAGAATAATGCTGCTTATCTTTTTAAACATATGACATGTAAAAGCTAATAGTGGCATGCCTGGCACAGAGTAAGGACTTAATAAATTGTGGCTTTTGTTATATTATTAGAAATATTGCCATTGTAAATGAAAACATTAGTTATACTTTTTGCTTAGGGTATCTTTGAGTCATCCCCTATACTTAACCGTTTCTGTGACCTGTGCTATACTCTTTCCTTGTTCCTTGTTAGAGCTCGTTTCTCTTGAGTAGGAGCAATTTGCTCTGGACAGTTTTCTTGAAGCTTTAAAATGTTAACACTGTGAAGATCTTAAAAAAAATAAAATAATGAAATGAGATGGACATGACTGTAACCCCAGTGACTCCAGAGACAAAAGTCAGGCTGATGGCAAGTTAAAGTCCAGCCTCAATAATTCATTGAGACCCTGGCTCAAAATAGAAAGGGCTTAGTGGTAGAGAGCCCCTGGATTCAATCCCTAGTACCCACCGTCCCAAAACCAGATATCAGACAAGAATTCAAAATGATCCTTTGGGTATTTAGGGGACCCTAGAGATGAGAGATTGAGGCCATTGGCCAGCTTAGAGAGGGATTTCCAGCTTGTGTTAAGGTGTACCCGTGTCACTTGCTGGGCTTTTCAATGGCTTCAGTTCTGGTAAATAACAGCCTCCACTGCTAAACTGACCTTTCAAGCCCTTGTCTTTAGATAATATTGACCCTGAACTGTAAGAAACAGTGATCCAATCTGAAATCGAATCACAGCTTCACTCAAAGGACCAAACTTAAATAAAGAATGGTTTTCATTTATGAACTGAAATCATAAGTAAATCAGGCAGAGGTGCCAATTCCTACCCCATAACTTACATCATTGTTTCAAGTTAGCGTGGTAATTTTCTTCCTTTAAAGACAATTATCATTTGATATTGCATACAAATTATCCTTGATTTTATCATTAGTATTTATTTTTTTACCACATGCCCTCTAATGATACTACATAGCTTAAACTCAGGGACCTTTCTTTTCTCCAACTACGTAAAATTGCAGTCATGAGCCTTTTTGTTTTCATAAATCATCCTTTTGCCTACCTCATGATAGAAAGCTAATTTCTAAACCAACCATTAGATTCTGTAAATTTGTGCCTTAGTCATGTGACTTAGTTCATGGATCTGTAGGGTTGGGTAGCCTAGAGTGGTTAGCACAAAGTAGTCTGGTGGTCAGCCGGCCTCACTGGTAGGGGGCCTGCAGCCTCCTGTTCTTCTCTACCACTAATGCCTGCTCTGGGTCTGGATCTCATGGATTATGGGATGTTTGTTTCATTTGATGGGATTTGGTTGAGACACTAGTTTAAAAGTAGTTCTTCAGGGGAACATCTGCCATCACGCTAATTATAAACCATACATTTCTTCTAACAATCATTAGTAAAATGCTACCTGCTTACTAAGCAGTTATGATGGAAAACCTAACAAACAGTTCTGAAAATAAATTTTTAATCCCAGAAACTGTAGTTTCCCTTTCCAGAAAATGTGTTATAAAAAGCCCTCTGCTAAGCCTGATATGTTTTAATGTCTGAATTCACTATTTTAGAGCTATCATTTCTAGAGAATAAAATTCCTTAATTAAAAAAATCATTTGACAATAGTCCTTCTTTTGCTAAAATAAAATTTTTAATAGGAAAATATTTTGTGTTATGCAGATACTTTGAAAAACAATTTGAACTGTCAGAAAAAACAAAATTACCAATGTTTCTTCATTGTCGAAACTCACATACTGAGTTTTTAGGTGAGTTAAAAATAAACTCATTTAGAATTTAAGAATTGTTCAAAAATCAAGCTAATTCCTATAAGTTCTTTCTATTTTTAATTCACAGACATAATGAAAAGAAATAGAGATCGGTGTGTAGGTGGGGTGGTAAGTATAGAATGGTTGTCTTTAATTTATGATACACAAAAACATCTTGGTTAATAAGTGTGGCTTGTAAAGTAATTCAGATGTCAGTTCTACACCCATTATTTGAAAGACATGTAAGTTTACTAGTGGATTTATGGGTCAGATGTAGGAAACACAGAAACCACACTGTTTCAATTATACTTTCTTTGTTCAATGTACAAGAATGAGTATAAAATTCTATTCACAGGAAAACCCCATGAATTTACTTCTACACATTCTGATGCTACGCATGATATTCTTTTTCTGTCTCTTCCATTAGCCATTCATGAATGTTCTTCAGTTTAAATTTTGAGAAACTTATATATTTGTATAATATCTTAAAATATTTCACTATTAGTTTCAGATTTGTTTTCTCTGATCTAGAGACTCATTTTCCTTTCTATAATTTATATTTCACTTGAAATACTGCTCCCATATGGACATTTCAGTCACTGATTTTCAGACATTTCCCATAAATAACATCTGACTATCACCTAGTTCAGAAATCAATGACAGTGATTTTTAGTCTTTTCAAATCATGGACTGTTTTTGAGAATTCACTTTAGAAAAATGTTCAGATATATAGATTTTCAAATACAATTTCAGGAGAGTCTCAGTGACTCTCTAGCAAAAAAAAAAAAAAAAAAACTATGATTCCAGGTATAATAAAATCAGTTTACTGTGCCAACCAAGGGGAGAGGAAATAGCCCTGAGCACCCATTATGTATGGGTGCCTGTCTTTGAGTTTCATGTGCATTTTCTCAGTGTTTAGCCTTTGCCTCATTTTTTGTACCATTTGTTATATGTATGTATTCTATATCGCTTTGGAGTTAATGTTACTGTGTACATTTTCTCTGTAATTTATTGACTCTCTAATTTATCCTTTTGGAACTGTACCTGGGAATTGAGAGGTTTTAATGCCCTTTGCATAGCCAGTGGTATTTATTATGGCCTGCAGACTCCACCTCTCTTTTGCTTTATTTCTAAGTAAGCTTTTACTTGGATGATTCTATAATAGTTTTAAAAAATTAACACCACCAACAACAAATCCAATGTAAATGTTTGATTTTTAGTAAAAAAGAAATTACCAAAGAATTAACTAATTTTCTAAAATGGTTTATGAAGAGTCACATTTAAAATTATTTTGCCATTAATTGAGGTTGTGTTTTCTAGTCGACTAAAAATGTGAGGGAAAGAATAATCCCTTTATGGAGAGCTGTGTAACAAATTTCTTAATTATTGGGAGATGTTAGCCATAGTATGTTTCAGATTCTCTGGACTCAGCAGTAATGTGACATCATCTTGTTTGTAAAGGAAGTGCAGTTGTTATTTGTTATTATTGATTACATAAATATACCTGAAGAATGAAAAACTACATGTGAACCCCTATGTCTTTAAAGGTGAAAAATACCATCTCATTCCTTTTTGCCTGCTAAGTCAATATTATTGACTGTGTAACAATTTACATTTTTAAAGCTTACCTCTTTATAGAGCTTCTTAAAACTTGCCTCTTAAATTTTTTCTATTCTAGAAAAAATATACTCAAAACAGAAAAATTCAGTGTTTTCAATAGTGGTATGACATTTCCAAGCTTGGAAACATGACTGCCCTTCTATGGTGAAACTGGTGCAGACACCAACACAGCACTCTAGAGAGAAATCCTAGCCAGCTAATCCCTTGCTGTATCACTGGAGATGACAAGAGGTTATAATTGTGAAACCTTAGTGAAAATTAAAATTGTAGGGGCTACCACATCTGAAACCCTATGATCCCCAAACCCTTACATGCATCTATTATTTTTGCTTAGGAAGTCTTTTAGTGTTATGTAGAATTTTAAAGAATAAATTATAATAAAATTATGCCTATATGTCCCTAGGTGCATTCATTTGATGGTACCAAGGAAGCAGTAGCTGCTCTGATTGACTTGGATCTTTATATAGGGTTTAATGGTTGGTACGTTCTTAAGGTTTTTTGTTTGTTTTAACTTTTATGTTAAGCATGTTTCTTAAATTGTTTTACAATGAATTGCTGATATTTATTTTTTATTAAAGTATGTGTGTTTTTCATTGATCCTGGCCCAAGAATTTTAGTATTTATGTAAGAAATGGAACAGTACTATTTACCATTACAAGTGAAAGCCTGAAAGTCTTAGACTTCTACTCTGTTCTAATAATAGAAACAGTCTGCTGAAATCAGCAGCTAGCTTTTTCTAGCAATCCAATTTATTCCCAAGTCATTTTATCTATTTAAAATGTATGGTTTATAGCATTGTATATACATATATATGTCATGTCTGATCATGGGAGAAAGGTTATTCTTTGACAATCATTTATATATCTCTGTAGGCTAAGAAACCAGGCTTAAATAAGTTAAGAAACAGGTATAAAGTTACTCCCAAGTTTAAGAACCTGTGTTCTCTGGCTTCTGGCTCTGTGACCTTTCTGCTGTAACCCCACACTAAACCTCAAACACCAGTGCAGTCACTGGCATAGTTTGGGCCTGGGCTGGTTTTGTGTCAGACGTATAAGAGCTTCCGCCAGGATCTTTTCACAGGATGTCAGTGTAGCTTATTAAAATAAATCACAGTATAGTACAAGACTCCTTTCCCTCTTCAGTGTTTCTTTCCAATGTCACTTTTCTGATTAAATAATTTAAAATCTTTGGGAATAGAATAATGGAATTACTTATTTGCTATAGAGTTCAGTATATAAATGTTCTAGATGCCTCTTTCACATTTTGGGGTGTGTGGGGGGTCGGGTAACAGGGATTGAACTCAGGGGCACTCGGCCACAGAGCCACATCCCCAGCTCTATTTTGTATTTTATTCAGAGACAGGATCTCACTGAGTTGCTTAGCACCTTGCTTTAGCTGAGGCTAGCTTTGAACTCTGTCCTCCTGCTTCAGCCTCCTGAGCCACTGGGATTACAAGCATGTGCCACTGTGCCCAGTCTTATATTTAAATTCATGGTTTGGTTTAATTTATAAATTAATATTTAAAGGAATACATGCATAGTGATTAAAAAGTCAAGTAGGACTAAAGACTTATAAGCAACTATCACAAACCCCACCCAGCATGCCCCAGCCTCTAAGTCAGCTCTTCCAGAGCAACCACTTCACTGTATGTCACAGTATTTCCAGATTATGTGCATCTACTCTTATTTTATGATTCATTCCCTTTGCCTATTCTCATTATAAGCACTGGAATTCTTATATCCCGCACTAACTCCACCTCCATTATTCCTTCCATTGTAGTTATTTCAGAATTTTTGAGTTTATGCATATTCAATGTTTTCATTATGTCTTTATATACATTTTGACTGCTGATCCATGTGGTATACCACTTTTATTTTTCTGAAGTAACTTTTCTTGGTTTTCTTCAAACTTTGAAGCCCTCTAATACTTGCCACAGTTCTACAAAATGTTTTTATCTGTTTTTTCTCCATGAGGAAATCTATCTAGATAATCTGATAGCTCCATTAGTTCCATACCCTGCTCTTTCTGTTTAGACTAGTGTCTTGTCTGATAGCACTCCTATTTTGAGGCCCCCAATATTACTTGTTTTGGTGGTCTAAATTCTCTGTTTCCTAAGAAAGTTTTCATGAGAAGTAAAGTTTTTGAGATTTTTGCATGTTTAAAAATGAACTTACTGTATTCTTAAAAGTTTTCCTGCATAGCAAATGAAACTACCAACTTTTGGTTGGTAGTTTTCCTGGGCATGAAATTCTACATGAGAAATCATTTTCACTGAGAACTTACATTGTTTGATCAGTAGGTTCTAGTTGATAGTGAACAGTTAGTTGATATATTGAATCCCAGTGTCTTCTTGGGGACCTTGTTTTTCCTTTGGAAGATTTTAGTTATGCCTGGTATTATAGAATTTCACAAAGATGTGTTTTGATGTTCTTATTTTGTTTTCTGGTCCCTCTTTATGCTGCTCTCTTACTGGCCCCTTCCAGCTGGAGGCTTCTATCAGTCCTGGAGAATTTTCTTCATATTTTTTTTTAGTATCCCAGATTGATAAGTCTGATATTCTTTTTATTCTACAATTTCCATCTGTATTTCTGCTTTTTTTTTTTTATAAAAAGTGCTTTATTTTCAACCTTTTTAAAATTAAATATTTCTTTTTGTTTTCAGTCTTTGAAAGCTTTTTAAAATACCAGTCTTAACAGATGCAGTGAGTTCTCATCTCTAAAGATATGAATTATAGTTGAAAATGTTTTGATTGCTTTTATTTCTTCCTTTATTCTCTCATCATTGGGGCTTTCTTCAATGGCAGTTCTTCGTTGTCTATTAAAAAAAAAAAATAGCTGCTTGGAAGTGCTGTAGGAGACAGTCCATCAGTTGGGAGGCTCAGATGGCGAACTGACTTTTCCACTAGGGATTCCCAAATACCATTTTATAGAGATCTTTTTCTGGTTGGTTCATTTCTCCAAAAAGGGATCCTCTGGTCTCTGCTGGAAAAGTGGGGTAGGGACTGACAACCGTACCTGACACTGTCCTGGAGCAAGATGGGATTAGAGGTCTCCCCACAGCAGTCAGTCTTCATTTCAGCCCACCTCACCCCTGCACTCTACTCATTTGTGCTTACTGTTCTCTGATGCGCTCTGATTTAGGTTTCCTCCTTCCTCAACCATAGATAAGTAATCTGGGAGCCCCATCATTTCTTTACCCAGACTTTTCAAACAACTCTTGTTTTTATCCCCTGCTTTATCCTAGCTTTCTATATCTCATTCTCAGGCTCTTAGAAATGTGGTTTGCTTCTTTTTAATGTGTGTCTCTGCAGACACATAACTTTTAAAAGCATTTAAACATGTCATTTATCATTTCTCCATGTGCTTTCTATGTTGTGGTTCAAGGTTAACAAATATTTACTATTTTTGATTTCTTGTCCCCTCCTCCCCTACCTCCTCCTTTCTGTCCACTAAAAGAATAGAAAAAGAACAAATGTTTACTGATTTCACCAAAGATTACTGTTTTATTTTCCTTGTTCTTTTGGATGACTTTCAAGAGGTAGTAAAAAAGATCAGTGGTTTCCAGGGTTAAGAAGGGTGTGTGGGAGGGATGAATAGGCAGAGCACAGAGGGTTTTTAGACAGTGAAACTACTCCAGATGAAATTATGATGTATCTATGTTGTTTGTCCAAACCCACAGAATGTATATCACCAAGAGCGAACAATAATGTCAATTGTGGGCTTATGGGCCATGATGATGTTTTGATGTGGGCTCATTAATTCTAACAAATGTACCACTGTATTGTGGATTTTTAGAGTGTGGTTGGCTGTGTTTACACGGGGGCATGAGATGTTACCTAGAATGTCTACCTTCTGCTCAGTTTGGCTATGAACATACAACTGTTCTAAAAATGATTTAATATTTATAATTATTTTAAAATACAAGGACAGTATTATTTGTCATCAAATTATATCGTAAACCATCCCAAACCTCACTGGCAAATTGCAGCAAGCACTCAGATCCACAATCATTGGTCTTGGATCATTTGGAATTTGGCTGCCACAGGTTGCGTTTTCCTTCTGGGCACCCAGGCTGAAGAGGTAGCAACTCCTCAGTGCATGTTTACTTATCATGCCATCCAGATGACAAAAAGGTACATTGCCTATGGTCATCTCCTCACATTGGCCTAAAGCATGTCTTGAAGCCATGGACAGATTCAGAGTGGAGTTCGTCCTTTTTATAAGAAACCATGGCAAGAGTACAGATACCTAATTCTGTTAAAGGATGCTGAAGAATTAGGAGCAGTAATCCAGTGTCTCAGGGGCTGAAAATGAAAGTTAATAAAATGAAAGTTAACTGCCTTATGAACACCTCTCAGTTATGCAAATAAATTTTTTAAAAAGTTAAGCTTTTACTTAGACTGATACAGAAAAACTATTGAAAAATCAATTGATAAACCTGAAAAAATATCCTTTCTAAAGGCAGATCTAGTTGAAATGATTTAAATTTGGATTCTGTGAAGAATATGAGTGTACATATACAAAAATTTCGAAAATACATTGCAAATAAATTTGTTACGGGGTTTTGGTTTTTAAAAATTTAAATGTTTATGATATGAAAAAGTCACTAAATGCTACCTTTAAAGTAAATATACACTATTTTTTTTTAAGCTCACTGAAAACTGAGGCTAATTTGGAAGTCTTGAAGTCAATACCTAGTGAAAAATTAATGATTGAAACTGGTAAGTTGATATTTTCATATTAAACCATACTTACTACCCTCCAGAAAATAGCTAGAGAAGGAAATGTGACTTCAACATCACTGCTAAATATCCTAAAATAGCATGCTGAGCTTCAACAGTTATACCTCCCCAAAGATTTTATTTTAATTGGTGAAGAATTATGCAAGTGGTTTTTATTTTCAATTTTAGAAATTTGGCTAAGCCTGAAAACTTCAGAAACACAAATAAGTGGGGGGTATGTGTGTGTCAGGATCCATGATAACTAAAGAGGTTGTAATTATATGAATATTTAATTAAATAAGGAATCTAACTCAGGACTTCATCCAGAGCTTCAAGATAAATAAAAAAATTGGGACTGGGGTTGTAGCTCAATGGTTGAGCATTTGCCTTACATGTGTGAGGCACTGGGTTTGATCCTCAGCACCATATGAAAAAAATATATATATTTTTTAGAGTAAAATAAAGATATTATGTTCATCTACAACTAAATATATAAGTAATTACCTAAGTAATTCTTTTAAAAACATTAACAAATGTCTTATTTATAATGTCTACTTCTGCCACATTTTTAAAGTAAACTGAGAAAACTTGTATAAGATTTTAGAATCTATTTAAAATAAAAGAGATAAAAGCTAAAATTTATCTAAATGTTGTGGCTCAAGGCTTTTATACCTTGCCTTTAAAGTTCAGATTGAGCCACTCTGGAGAAATTACTTTTATTTCCTTGGGAAGTCATGAAATGAGAAGATTCCATTAAAAGTACAATGTTTGTAAAATATGTAACCTATTATAATGATCAAAGTAGTATTCAAGGCCAGTTTCACATTCAGAAGTGGCACTATAGAAATTTATCTCAAATGTTTTCCTGTTAGAATTGTATTTCTTTTAGGTTTAGATCTTTTGTTAAAGCATGTATAATTTTACAATATTTGTTAGGTTAAGGTCTTTTGTTAAATATAACATAAAAGTGAGTCTTAATGTTTAAGATGCAATTTGGGATTTTATCGCGTGCTTTTCTTAGAACTGTTTTCAGATGCATTAATTTCACTGCTTTGAAGCTAAGTAATGGCTTGTTACTTAAAAGGTTTTGTATTTGTTTAATAATGTTCATAAGAAAACAATTTTTAAAAAGTAAACCGTTTAACAGACACTTCTTTACCTAACTCTAGATGCACCTTGGTGTGGAGTCAAAAATACACATGCTGGATCAAAATATGTAAAAACTTCATTTCCTACAAAAAAGAAATGGGAAAATGGGCATTGTTTAAAAGATAGAAATGAACCCTGTCATATAATGTAAGTGTTTTGCTGTTATGGTCTTTAAAAATTATTGACAATAACCACCAAATGCCACTTACAAAATGAACTCAAGGAACAAAATTCAAGGTTTCATAAAATCCAAGTCAAGTTCGGGTCAGTCTTTAACAAATGTACACCACAATGGTACATGTTAGAAATAATGAATCTGCAGTGACACATCTTCATGACCCAAAGTTAAAGTTCAGGTCAAAGGTCATTTTAATAGTGATTTGGAGGAATCTGAATTTGTACCTATTGCTGTTATCTCAGCTCCTATATTCACTTTCTCTCAATTCAGTGACTTTTAATTTAGCAATGAAAAAATCTAATTGGTCACCTATCATTTTGTAGGATCTTAAAACTATTCATATCACCTTACCTTGTTGAAGTTTATTCTTATGTAACTTCATTGCTGCTGTTTGTAATCAGTTAGCCTTAGCAGACCTTTTTTAAATGATACTTGCATTTTAAATGATTTGACCACCTTAGGAAATCACACATTTCTTTAAGCCTTAGAACAAAATGATAAATGAAAGAATTTCCTTTTCCCAATCAAAAAAATTTAACAAGGGGGGCAGAACTTCACAGTATATTTCCTAAAATGTAGTAACTTGAGTCATTTTATTATAATTTTAGCACATGAAAATACTCACTCGTGTCAAAAGCTACAGTGAATCTTATAACAAACTAGGAAAGCTAGTTTTACCATGTTAATGGGCACATATCGAATTTAACTGGGACCAGAGACATAGCAACTGTCTGCCTTGAAAGGAACTAGGAGTGCTTTAAGGTGACATTTCAGTTGTTTACTTAGCATAACTGGGAGTTAGGCCAGTCAAAGACAAACACCTTGAGCAAAGGCAGACACAGAAAAGACTTGGCTGATCTACAGCAAGGAGCCTAGTGTGGGAATAAGTAAGATGCATGGATTAGGTAGAAGGCAGCAGAATGAGGCTGGATTGTCCAGGTCTTTATGACAACCTTAGTTTTGACTTTATCAGGACCCAAAGGATTTCAAACAGGAGAATGGCATGATTTTAAGGTATCATTAGTAATCAGTGTGGGGAAGGACAGGAAAGGAGATAGGTAGTAAGGATTGTACAGATCTTGCATAACTGAAAACCTATGCCTGGTGTGCTATATAAACAAAACCATTTAATTCTCAAGGATAATATACATTTTTAATTATTTTTTAAAGAATATCTTCAGGGCTGGGGCTGTAGCTCAGTGGCAGAGCACTTGCTTAGCATGTGTGAAGCAATGGGTTCAATCCTCAGCACCACATAAAAATAAACAAATAAAATAAAGGCATTCTGTCCATCTACAACTACAAAAAATTAAAAAAAAATAACTTCAGCTTTAGGCCATTGAAACCACATAAAAATAGACTAGATGGCAAGAGATGTTTGAAGATTGCCATACACTTTGTATTACCAATTCCTTTGGGTGTTCACAGTTAAGATACCCATAAAGGGAACAGAAAACTTATTACAAAGAGTATCTAAATGTTTAATTTACACTAGAACCTTCTAATTCATGTATCTTACCTATATGTAATAGTTAGGAAACACTGACAATTATCATTTTAGGTAAAGAAAGTTGATAGACCGACCCATGGGCTATTCTCTGTCTTACAGGACAGAAAGTATAGGAACATAAAGCCCTCACCCTCAACCACACTTTATTCTTCCTTTGCTGTCATTCTTAGTGGTTATGTAGCCATTTCTCGGTATCTTTAAAGGACTAGTTCTTCAAATAGTGGGTTAGTAAGTCTGTATAAAGAAAATTTGGGGTGCCGTCCTCCCAATTATCATTATATACAAATAAATGTAAATAAAACTGAACCCAAAGTAGAAAAGTACTTACCCTCATTACATGCAATATACATATCCTCCTAATTTTTAAAATGTTCATCATGACTCACTGAAGTGTTATGACCTACAGTTTTAAAGGATGCTTCCTTTCTGCTGGGTTAACACCATGATTGTGGTACACATGGTATAGAAGGCCAATTTTAAACTTACTTGATGCTGTTCTTGGTTCTATTTCTACCCAAGTCAGCTTCAGCACTTTGTCTCTAATTGCTGCTACAAAGTTTTTTCTATTGATATTGTTAAAAACAACTGTTAAGCTTATTGTTAAAGGTAGTACAAGGTCTTCCTTTATGTGAAAAAAATATTATATACCTTTAGAACAGAATACATGCTTGGAAATTTAACCATCCTTTTTTGTTTTGTTTTAGTCAAATACTGGAGATAATGTCAGCAGTAAGAGATGAAGATCCACTTGAATTAGCCAATACACTCTATAACAACACCATTAAATTATTTTTTTCCTGATACTGGTATATCTTCCATTTTCCATCATGTATGTAACAATTTCATGATAAAACTGACTAAGTTTTAATAAAGAAAATTCTCTGGATGTCATCTAAATAGGTATCATCTTCAATTTTATCTATAAAATCAGATCAAGATTTTTTAATATCATTTAATGCTCTTGTTTAAAATGATTAGATCACACCTATTTTCATTGTGTAATTTAATCAAGTATGAAAATACAATTTTATAATACTTCAAACAGAATGACTGATTTTACCTAAAAATTAAATAGTACAGTCTGGTCTATATCAAAGCTTAGTTGATATAAGCCTATTGCTCAACTTTCACAGCCTCTGGCTCATGACTTTTGAACCCAGCTCAACTACATTGCTACTCCAAGTTCAAAAAAGTTCTCAGTTGCATCTAGCTAGCTCATTTTTCTCTTAGTTCTAAAACATTCTATAGCCTTTCTCCTCTGATCCAAACTGTCTTTCCTTGACTTTAATGTGATTTCCCGATTTGCAATTTCATTCTCCCACCCATTTTAAAGAAAAACTAGGGTCCAGAGTTAGATACATTATATAATTTCATTGAGGAATTTTTGGCACAGTTGATGCACTGTATGATTATTTTATCAATTAAAAAGCTATTTGTTCAAATTTTGTCATAAAAACGTGAAAACATTTTATTCTATGTACAATAATGTACACAAATTTAAATAGGTCACCAAAGAGACCAGAAGTAATTAAAGAGGTATATTTACAGTAGCACATCACAGTAAACGGAAAACCATTCACAGATTCAACATTGATACTGTTTTTGTGCTTGGTTACACACTGAAGTGAAGCATATTACTCCATTTTGGATGAACTGAATTTTAAACAAATACCTCAATGATTAGTAAATGCTATTTTAATCAGTGTCATCATTAATAAATTCTTCAGCTGCTGCGCCTGTGTGCTGAATCTCTCCATTTCTTTCTCTTTGAACATCATCATCACAATCTGTACTGTCGTCTTCGTTCAATTCCCTGTCAGATTCAGCAGCATCTTCCCTTATAGCTTCCTCTGGATTTTCATTTTCATTGGGTGCAATAAAGCCATTGTTGTTAGAGATATTTGCATTATCCTTGCTATCATCTTCGATGTACACTTTTTGATGGCACATTGGACAAGTATCTTGAATGTACAGCCATTTTCGAAGGCAAAGTGCATGGAAATAATGATTACATGGCGTAATACGAGCAGATGTTGTAAACTCATGATAGCAAATTGCACATACATCATCTATTTCTTGCAAGCGGCTTCCTTTTATTTCAGGAAGTGAATTAATTTTCTTCACAGCAGTTCTACGATTCATAAATGTCTTCCAGCCATTCTTTGCTTGTAAGTAGATGTTAAAATAGGCATGTAGGCACATCATACAAGCCCGAATTTTACTTCCTGACTCAAACATCATAGTATAAGCCCCATTTCCAAACATTACTACTCCAAATATAAATTCAATAATATTGCCTGTTGAACGAACGTAGTAGACGTAATCATCAAGCTTTTCCCAGAGGACATTATAATAGCCATCAATCATGAACAGTGTATAGACAGTGAGAGAAACAATTACTTTTAAGCAGAGTTCCACACAAAAGGCTGTAACTGCAAACAACCATGTATTTAGTGCATAATGATGCCAAAGAACATAACTAAGTAAAACAGGAAGAATAAACAGGCAAGCAGAGACAAACAGAACAGGAAAATGTCTACGAAAAGATGATACATGGGAGGCACTGAGAGACATTAATACAGGGTCTGTCATTCCATGGATGAAATGCAGGACTGCAGTTAATAAAAGGCACATGTTTCTACTTAAGCGAATAAGTCTCTCTTCTGGTCTTAGCCCACTTAAACCAGTCTGAAGAGCCAAAATAAAAAATAAAACAGGTGCTACAAAGCCAAGCCGCCTGTCATCTTCTTCAGTTGATCCAATAAAGGCCAATATTCCAAGTCCCAAATAATGGGCTACTGAGGAAATTACAGCACTCATGCCCAGGACAGTTAGTGTAGAATCACATCCACTAATTATAAGATTGCAAATGAGGTCCCAGAAATCATCCCAAGAAATGAAAAAGGACTCAGTTTCATTTGCCATCCTTAAAATGTACATTAACACTGTAGCCTGAGCTGTAATCCTTGTTAGCCAGAAGACTCGAAGTATATCTGGGAAACGAATCCTCTTCCATGTGTCCTCCATCAATAACTGTAATCCATAAATTCGATACATGTGCCTCACTAAAAGATAAACATATCGTGTGGAATAATAAAACCACTTAAGTTTCACTGCTAAGACAAGCACTGTATTTAATATGAGAATCAATGAAGAGGTAAAAACTAAAGTCTCTCTGATATGTAAGGGTAGCTCTGTGATTAAGCCTATTACGGGAACCAAGAGATCCAAAATAATTAATTGTGAATAGATGGAATGAATCTGGAGTAGTGTGATGTATCCAATTCCAAATGTTAGCTGTAAAACAATGAGTGCCATCCATAATGAGGGCCCTTTTCGAGGAAGCAGCTCAATTCCAAAAGCTGATGTGTTGTAGGCACCATAGAAGTCAATGTGCAAAGAAGCATAGTAATTCACCAACACTGAAGTTGCAGCTAGTAGAAAGGCTGAGCTGTACATGTAAAACTTGAAAAGTGATCGCTGTGACAAAATAAGAACAATACTGGATACAAATATACCTAAAAAAGAAAAAGGAAAGGTCATTTGAATGAAATGTGTTTTATACTAATAATTATTACTTAATTATGAATATTTCCAAAGTTATGAACATTAAGCCTTAAGACAACTTAGGCTTAAGGGCCAATAAGGTTTTGTAAAGTCAAGGTTAAAAAGCAAACCTAACAATAATTTAAAAAATCTCACCCCTTTTTTTCTAATTTCCAAAGTAAATTCCATCATACTATATGTCAGGCATGAAATTCCTAAATTATCTTCAGGACACATTTGTAAGGATATGTATCTTTTAATAAGTTAAAAAAAACTCAGAAGAATATGTCCTTTGTAATTTCATAATCATTGAAAATTTAACTCCATCTAAAACTGTTAATTAAAAATATCCAAAATGGAAAACACTTGGTCCATTAAATCTTATAATTCTTTCATTTAAAAAAATCTTCAAGAAATCAAGTTTAAGTTTTAATTTCCTCCTTTTCTTCCAGTTGTGAATCCTTACCAGCTCTTATATTTTTCCTGATCCTTAAATTTGAGCATTATCCAAGGGTCCAAATTCACTTTTTTTTTTTTTAACATATTTTCCTTCAGATTTCAAAAGTGCAAAGTTCCCTTTTCTCTATGCATTACTGAATTAATTTCTTCAAATAGCCAACCCTTTTTATTTTTCAAATTATACAAGTAACTTTCAGGAAATCAAAACACGTTAAAAAATAATAATAGTAACGTTCCTCTCCTCCACTCCACATATGACTATCATATAAACATCCTGATGACATACAGTGGCCCCATCTTTCTTTGTGCGCTGGCAAAAAATACTTTTTAAAATGAGATTATAGGGCTGAGATTGTGGCTCAGCGGTAGAGCGTTCGCCTAGCACGGGCGGGATCCGGGTTCAATCCTCAGCACCACATAAAAATAAATGCATTGTGTTGTATCCATCTACACCTAAAAAATAAATATTTAAAAAAATGAGATTATAATAAGACACATTTTACAAGGTTTTAATTTTGGGAATGACATCCAAATATTCACCTAGTTCAACTCTCTTATGGTTTGGATTTTAAATGTCCCCCAAAAGGTCATGTGTCTAAGGCTTGGTCCCCAGTGTATCAGTGTTCAGAGATAGGACCTTTGGGTCCTATCAGATCCTATGAGAACAGGAGGGCTCTGACTCCATGAATGGATTAATCCATCTATGGACACTTCATTTAATGCGCTCCTGGGAGGTGTTGGAAACTTTTGGAAGTAGGACCTGGTTGGAGGAAGTAGGTCATTGGGGGCATGCCCTTTCAAGGGGATATTTTGTCCCTGGTCACCCTTTCTCATCTCCGTCTTCTTCCACATGATGAGCAGCTCTGCATTATCACAAACTTGATTTTTCAAGCAGCCTGTATTTTGTGAATGCCTTTAAAAAACATAATCCAGGTGGCAGAACCATTTACTTCTCCAGTGAGTAGTAATGAACTTATTTTGTAACACAGATTGAGGGATCCATTGATGCACAAGATGGAATCCTTGCCAGCTATCAGGGACTTATTGTATAATAAGGTAGATGATACAGATAAGTACAAACTGCAATTTCAGGTGGTGCATGACTATTAAGTGATTCACTTAAATTCTGTACGTATGCTGAAGGAAAAGTCACTGTCAAAGAAAGTGGGTTCCTAGAATGGATAATCTGACTAGTCAGTTTAGGGAAGGTTGGTGGGACAGAGAGAGAATTGTAAACATGGATGTAATTATGGTAGAGTAAGGAATGTGTGTGGGAAACAAGTGTGACACATTTGTGTATATGTGCATGTGTGCGTATATTGAGAGCAATACCCCTCTAAAGCAAATAGCAAGTTGGATCCTTGAATGCCAAGACAAGGAGTGTAGGTTTTGATTGACTGTAATTTCAGAGCCACTGAAGAATGTATTTTGAGTAAAGAAATTAATAAAGGCAATTTGGCGGCAACTTTGGATGGATTTGTATAAGATGAGTTTTTAGATACAGACTGATTGGTATCATTAAGAGAGGAAAAGACTATTGAGAGCCACAGCCGAAGGGGCCCCAGTAAACTTCCAGCTGCCAGCTGATGATTGGCTCACCGAGGCCCCGGCAAACTGATTGGTATCATTAAGAGAGGAAAAGAGTGGCTGGGGATGTGGCTCAAGCGGTAGCGCGCTCGCCTAGCATGAGTGCGGCCCGGGTTCGATCCTCAACACCACATACAAACAAAGATGTTGTGTCTGCCAAAAAGTAAATATTAAAAAAAAAAAAAAGAGGAAAAGATGTTGGTAGAATTTAGGAACTAATTGGCAAAACTTGAGGATGTGGGGCCTGTAGAATAATAATAGTACCTTCAATTGAAATTGGAAATCACAAGGAAAAACTCATTCTG